GTCCTTGAGAGCGTCGGGGGAGTACGCCTTCTCGAGATCCGCGCGCAGCGCCTTCGTGCGCACGTTCTTGGAGTTCGTGTCCTCCGACTCGATGAGCGACTTGATCGCCGCGATGCCCTTCTTGATGTCGTCGTAGTGGTCGGCGTCCTCGTCCGCCAACATCTCGGCCAGCGTGTCGTCGTCCTTGACGGCGTTCTGCAGCGCACCGTAGAGTTGGCGCGACAGAGTCACCGCCAGGTCCCCGAAGTACTTGTCGATGATGGCCGGGATGAGGCCGTCCGCAGTGCCGATGTTCTTGTAGCGCACGTGCAGCGCGACCGCCTCGGCCTCGCGCTCCGCGCCCGGCCGGATGGTGCCCACCTCGATGATGTCGAGGAGGTACTTGTGTTGCTTCGCCGCGGTCCGCAGGTTGCGGAACCACTCGTTGAACTCCCGCTCGGAGCCCTGTTTGTAGGCCGGAATCACCAGCTTGTCCGTCGACGACATGTTGTCGTAACATAATGTCCCGGGGATCGTTGCCCCGCCGCTACCAACTGTGAAGGTCTTCAGTGACCACTCACAAGCTGTTCCAAGGCCCGACAGAAATGTACTGTCAAAACTTTGTTCAAACAAAAGTCCTGGCCCGCGGCCCCCACACCCACAATGACTATCAATCCAGGCTGCGGGTGAAGGGCAAAACCGCGCCGCTGCAGAACGGTTTTTGCAAAACCGCGCCGCAGCGGTACGAAACTGCGCAGATGCAGTCCAGGGGTGGTAAGGACACTATGTGTGTGTGTGTGGCCGTAGACTAGACGGCTGCGCGGTCGTCGGTCTTCAACACCTGCGCCGCGCACCACCCTCCACCCGCAGCCGCGGCGGCGTCTCGACGGGCGAGTACAACAACATGCTCAACGCCCGCCTCGCCGCCAATGCCACGCCCTTCGGCATCTGGGCGGCTGCGGCGGCCGCATCCCCATCGTCGTCGGTCTACCGCAACACCACGGACCAGTGCGTCGCGTACATGTCGAGCGTGGACGGCCAGATCATGCCCATGCCGGACAACATCGTGCCCAAGCACTACAAGGACATCGCCAACATCAGCGACCCCAAGCTGCGCGACATGTGGTACAAGGCGTATGACACCGAGTTCCTCGGCCTCATCCAGAACGGCACGCTCAAGCCCATGCGCCGCCCCGCCAAGGTGCGCGTCCTCCCGCTGAAGGAGATCGCCTCCCGGAAGTCCGACGGCCGGTGCAAGTGGCGCGGCTGTGTCATGGGCAACCTGATGCGGCCCGGCGTCGACTTCACCAAGACCTTCGCGAGCGTCGTCCGCTACGGCACGACCCGCACCGTGCTCAACGTGGCCGCGCAGGAGGACATGGAACTCATCACATGCGACCAGCCCATGGCGTACACCTGGGCGGAGCGCGGGGAGGGCGAGACCTGGTACTGCGAGATGCCGAAGGGGCTCAAGGGCAAGCCCGAGTACTGCTACATCGACCCCATCACCGGCGAGGAGAAGGACATGGTGTGCGAGGTCGGCAACCTCTACGGCGCACCATCCGCAGGTAACGCTTGGTGGAACAAGGTCAAGTCCATCAACAAGGCGTTTCCTGGGCTCGTTTCAGTCCGAGGCGGACCCGAGTGCTTCACCCTCACCCGCAACAGCACGAAACTCATCGTCGTCATCTACGTGGACGACTTCGGCATCTTCCACTCCGGGACCACATCGAGCACTTCAACAAGCACGTCGGCAAGCCGCTCAAGGTCCACGAGCGAAAGGTGCACGAGTTCCTCGGGCTCACCATCACCAAGACGCAGACCGGTTTCAAGCTGTCTGCCAGCAAGTACATCGACATGCTGCGCGCGCGCTTCTTCCCGTCAGGCGTCACGCACGCGGGCTACAAGGTGCCCGCGGACAAGGACCTCCCGTCCATCGTCATCAGCGCAGCCGAGAAGAAGACCGCGCCCGACCCGCAGCTCCTCCAGCGCTGCCAGTGCCTCATCGGCAGCCTCATGTTCGCCACCAACGCGCGCCCCGACATCCAGTACACCGTCTCGCAGCTGGCGCGCTGCATGGCTTGGCCCGACGCGAACATCGAGGCCGCCGCCGAGCGCTGCCTCATCTACCTCATCGGCACGCAGGACCTCGGCCTCCACTACGAGCGCGTCGCCGACCCCAAGCTCTTCGGCTGCTCCGACGCGAACTGGTGCACCCGCCAGAGCACCTCCGGCTGCGCCTTCAAGATCGGCACCGCGATCATCTCGTACTTCTCCAAGAAGCAGGGTCACATCTCCCTCTCGACATTCGAGGCCGATGGAAGCGCCGATGTACGGGCGAGGCAGCGCGGTGACGAACGAGGTGAACTTGACCCACGGCCCGCCGCGCGCCCGCGCCTCCGCCGCATTGCGCGCCGCCGTCTTGGCCTTGAGGATGGCGGGCGTGTCGATGGTGTTGGAGTCGGGGAAGGTGTCCTCGACCTGGTCGGTGCCGACGCCAGCGACAAAGCCGCCGACGATGCCGTCCGGGTCGAACGTGCGGGTGATAGATGGAAAGAAAATCCCTTTCTCCCGGCCGGGGTGGGGCGCGCGCGGGGGCGTCGGGTGTGCGGGATGTCTGTGGGTATATGCCATAACATCGAAGGCTAAGCTCAAAGAAATCCAGGTAACTTTTGGAGGTAAACGATGTCGGGCAGCACCATGGCCGGCTCCTGGTTGGGGAGCACCTTGGCGAGCGCGGCAACGTGGGACCCGCTCGGCCTCGGGGACGAGGATGCGGCCATCGAGCGGGCGATGCGCGACCGCGCTCAAGAGGTGGCCTCGCTGCGGCAAACCGTCTCGCTGCTCCAGGACGACCGGCGGCAGACGCACGCCTCGGTGCTGGACGTGGTGGCGTCGCCCCGCGGCGTCGCGGTCGGGAGCGGTGCGGCGCCCGCCGAGCCGCCGAGCTCCTCTGCGCTCTCGCCCGCGGCGCCCTCGCCGGCGACGCCCTCGCCGGCCGCCGCCTCGCCGGCCGCCGCGACGCTGGCCGCTGCGGCGGAGGCCACGATGGCTGCGCGCGTCGAGGAGGCGGTCGCGCTCGTCCGGAGCGAGGAGCGCGATCGCTCCGCCGCGGCGGTATCGACCGCGGTGAGCAGCGCGGTCAGCCGTGCCGAATCGCAGGCCGCGGCGCGGCTCCGCGGCGCCACCGAGGACGTGCGGGCGGAGGCGCTCGCAAAGGCCGAGGCGGAGACGCGCCTCCTCGAGGCGGAGTGGGCGGCGCGGCACGCCGCCGTCAGCACCTGCCTCACCCGCTCGATCAGCGAGCTCGAGTGCCGGCTGCGAGCCCACGGCGAGTCGGTGCAGCGCGCGACGCAGCTGACCAAGGCGCGGGCGGCGCAGATGCTCGCGCAGAAGGACGCGGAGCTGCTCGCCGCGCGCCGCGGCATGGCGGGGAGCGGCGCCTCGACGCCGCGCGAGCAGGTCCAGACCGCCACCATCGGCGTCGGCACCAGCGACGACGAGAGCGCACGCTTCCTGCACGCGTTGGCCATCAGACGCGGCGGCCTCCGAGCCACACCACACCAAAACGGGTGGCCGCGTTGTGCTCCTGCGTGTAGGCGCACGCTGGAGGAGCAGCGGCGGGCCGGCGCCGCGCGCGTCGCGACGAGGCTCGACGCCGAGGGGAACGTCATCCGGCAGGTCCTCGCCTCCCTCTTCCTTTGCTTTGCGGGACCGCCCACCCACCCTCCAATCCCCATCCGACCCAGGACCTGCTTGGTGGCGGCGGCACCGACGGCGACATGGCCGCCCGCTTCGCGCGCCGCGCCGCTGAGCTGGAGGCGGCGCTCGAGCGGGCGCGGGAGACCATTTCGCAGCTCGAGACCGCGCACGCCACGGACCAAAAGCTCACGCGTTCGCTGCGCGCACGGGTCGCAAAGCGCGCGGCCACAGCTGCTCGAGCGCGGAGCTCGACGCGTGCATCCAACCTCGCTGCGCTCCGCTCTAGGCACGAGCGGCGCGGCGGGTCCGACTTTGAGTATCTGCGCAATGTGTTGCTGCGCTTCTTTCTGCTGCCGCCCGAGGAGAGAGGCGCCGCTCGCCACCCGCCTCTCAGCTTTGCCGCCAGTCATAGAGCACGGTGAGGCTGGCGCCTCTCTGCAGGCCCTCTCTTCCCTGCGATCGCCTCGGCGTGCGGCTTCTCGTCGAGGCAAATCGCGCAGATCAACGAGGCGCGGCAGAAGCACGCGCCGGCCGCTTCGGCGGTGGGCGCGTGGCTCTGGGGCAGCGCGGCAGCCGCCGCAGAGGCGCAAGCCGACGCCTCCTACTTTGGCGACGGCGGCGGTCTGTTCTCCGCGCCGCCGCCCCCGGCAACGCCACCACCGCCGGCGCGGCCGCCGGCGACGAACGGAACGGGCGATGCGGGCGATGCGGGCGCGTTGGGCGAGCTGGGCGAGCTGCGGACCAAGGCGAGCAAGCTCCGCTACTTGCTGCAGCGGGCGGAAGCGGAGATTGCCCGTCGCGAGGAGCAGCCTGGATAGGTCTATGTCAGCAGATCGTGGCGAGTGTGCGAGGCGTTGATCCGGCTTGCGTTCTGGTGTCGTGTTCAGCGTGAGCCGTGACGCATCGGACGTCGGGGGAGAGACCACATGCACTGCACATGCACATGCTGAGCATGTGCATGTGCGAAAGAAGGGCAGCTAGACGAACAGTCGTCACGCGTGCACACGTCCGTGCGTCACGTGACGTGTCTGGCTCGGAGCTCGGTGTAGAATGAAAAGGATGTCTTCTGTGTGTCACTCCCCACCGTCATCTCCGTGTGTCTGTGTGGGCCCACACGCCACAGGCGCCACCAGTGAGCACAGTGGCTCAGTGCGACGCGCAGGATATGTCCAACTGTGTCTCGCGGGTCGGCAGCTACGTTCATTCATGACTCGTCTATAGTCCCCGCCCTCACGCATGCGGCACGGAATTTTGCGCGGACCAGCACTCGATCTACGCACTACGGGTGCACCCTGGTCCCTGCTGATCACCTCCCTCTCTCACGGGGTGTACTGCCGCACACTGCCGTGCTGCGGCACGGCCACCTCGACGATGCGGCCATCTGCCAAACCGCATATGCCGCTGGCGGCCGTGCATGCGATCGCAAGCACCTCGCCCTTCTCCTCGCCCTTCTCCTCGCCCACCTGCGTTGCAGGCGCGACTTGGTCAGCACCGGAGCAATCGCGGGGCGCGACTGTTTCCGATTCGCCTCCTCGCCAACTTGCGCCACGCCCAAGCAGACGAGCGCGCCCGGTGGCTGGTTGCGACGACGCGTCCCCGGCTCGGCGAGCTCCCAGCTCTTGCACACGCCGTCCTCCGAGCCGGCCAGAAATGCCCGGCCGGCGTCGCCGTACCACGAAAGCGCGCAAGCGCCTCCGTCGGTGGACTGCACCCCCGTGGCGAAGGGCGCCGCGTCAAGCTTCGACAGGGCGTAGAGATGGATGGCGCCCGAGTTGCGCCCCGCCACAACGAGGTCGCGGCTCGCAGAGAGGAGCAGCGACAATACGCCATCGCCCTCACCGCCGGACGAGGCGCCGGGGACAGTGGCCACAGCAAAGGAGTGGAGCTTGGCAAAGCCAGTGGGAGAGCGATCGTCCTCGAGGTCGGAGCGCCTGAGTGACTCGGGTCAGAAGGTTACGGGGCGCCGGCTTTCGGCGGAATCCCCGCTCTCCGTGCCGCGCCAGAGCGTGCACCGGCCGTCGAAGGAGCCGCTCAGCAGGTAGACGCCCTCGCGCCCGCCCAGAGCGCCCGACAGCGGCGGCAGCGCCCGCTCGATGGCGAGCGCCATGACCTGCGCATTCAAGGGCAGTTTTGAGCCCCCCACTGTCCAAATGAGGAGCGCAAACAGCGACAGTAGGCGAGGCCCAATGCGAGTGCGGCAGCGACTGCACCGCCGAGCCGCTCTGCAGGGACCAGACACGCACGGCGCCGCCTTGGCTGCCCGAAGCCGCCCACACGGGATCGGCGGCGCGGCCGCCCGCGTTGTTACCTCCGCCAGCATCGGGCGGCTCCGGGGGCAGGGCGACGCACATGGCTTCGTCCTGCCGCAAAGCAGGACCGCGGGGTGAGGGGGACTGCATATGGGGGCTGGTGCGCATCTGGCCCTCCTCGACAGGTCGCGCCCTCGGCCGCATCGTGTGCAGCGCATAGAGGTGCGCGCAGCCGTCCTCCACCGCGAGGCGAATCGCAGAGACGACGCCTGCGAGTCAACCCCTTTCCCGGTGAGGTGATGCACTTCGAATCTCGGGACGGATGGCCAACGACGATGCCGTCGGCGCCGCCGCTCAGCACGAGCGAACCGCCCATCGCCACCGAATGAATCTCGGCGCCGTGTAGCGGCTCTCCTGTTGGCAAATCCCCCGTGTTCTCAGGAGAGTGGATCTCCAATCAGCCTCGCGGGCCTTAGCGGCGGCTCGCCCGCAGCACCGCTCGAAGGCCGGCAAGCGATGTAGGAGCCGGTCAGCTCCCAGCCGGAAGCCGACCCCTGACCCTCCCCGCCCTCCTCGCCCTCGCCCTCGCCCTCGCGACGATCCCCAATCGTCGCCGCCTTGCCGCTCCGCCTGGTCCATGCCACCACCCGCCCGTCTGAGGTGCCTCCAACCAGCACTGCACCATCGCTGCTGAGCACGAGGCTCGAGATGGCGGCCGGCGCTTCCGCGCTGCCGACGCGGCTCACCGTCGACCAGACCTAGAGATAGCAGGGCGAAACGTCACCTCGCAAGGATCAATTCGGCGAGCGCCCCGCAAGCACCTCGAGCGGCGGCGCGCTCTCGCCGGCTAACTCCGGCGCCCTGCCGTTCGGATGGTCGGCCGTAGAGGGCTGCTCGATTCGGAGGCCTGTCGGGCTCTTAGCGGGCGCCCCCGCCCGCGAAGCGTCGCCAAAGGACGCCGGGGCATCGCCCTTCGCGTCCGGCGATGGCAGCCCCGAGAAGGACGACGTGCGCGACGCGGTGGATGAACTCGGGGAGAGGGTCGACGCGGCGGCCCGCTCCGGTGTCGATGGGGCGGACGCCGAGGAGGAACCTACAGCAACGCCTGAAACAGGTGAGCAGGAGGCAGTGGAGGCACTCTTTCGGGAGGGGGTGGCGAAACGCCAGAATCGCGCCCCGACTCGCGGCATGAGCGAGGCACCTACCGGCGCCGCCCTCTTGCAGTGAGCACGCCGCGGGAGGGCGGCACCGCCCTCGTGGCCAAAACACCAACGCAGCGCGCGGTGTGTGCGGAACAAAGCTGCGCGGCTTGCTCCGGTGTCCTCGGTCCTCCTTGCCGCCCAAGCGTGGCGTCATCGAGCTCTCCGTGAGCCTCTCCTCGGCCGAGTCGCTGCCTAATCGGCACGCGTTACGACACGTGTGGTAACGGTAACGTTTTGCAGCGCCGGTCCCGAACGAGCCCCGCCAATCTGCAGCATAAACGAACCCTGCAAACGGTGGCGCTGATCCGCCTCGAGCAGCTCGCGATGCCGGATCACCGCGGCCTCCCGCAGCTCCCGGAGGACATCCTCGTGCTTCCGTGCGCCTATCGCCGGGCCCCTCAAAGCTCATCAGCGCTAGGGCCGTGCGCGGCCTGAATGCTTGCGGCTGCCGGCGCTGCGTCCGTGAGGCGCCATCGCTCCGCCGGCTCCCACGCTGTCTGATGAGGAGCAGCGCGTGGGGCCGCGCTCGCGGCTAAGCTCGCGCTCGCGGCTGAGGCGCGTCGAGCCTCGGCTGGCCTCCTCCGGCTTGCCCCCGCTGTCCCGCGCCGACGCCTCCGACGCGAGGCTGTCACTCGACAGGCTGAGAACCTGCAGTCAGGGACCGCGGCACGAATTACCCAAGGGTGCGTGGGTCATAGCGGGACGCAAAATCGGGCGGGCGCCGATGAGCCCGTGGGCGACGCGGCCGACGCCGGAGCGAGCGGCGACTCTGCAGCCTCGTCGGTCTCCACGCGCTGCGCCACCTCTGAGCTCCGCGCCTGCGGGGGGGAGAGCGCAAAGCGAGAGCGCAATCCTTTCCATCCCCTCGCCGAGCCTGGACGCGACGGTCCACCAGGGCGCGATGGCGGTCCGCTGCGACTTCGCCGCTGCGCCTCGCCGCTCCGAGCTCGCGCCTCGGTCGATCTGCCGCAGCCGCCACCGCTGCCGGCAGCCTGCTCCCTCGCGACCTCCACCACTAGCTCCTCGATCTTGGCGGAGGCACGCGCGATGTGCGCGCTGATGAGCTCCTCGATATTCTGGCGAGTAAGGAAATCGCCGCTCGCCGCGGCGATCAGGTCCTCGATCTCTTTCTGTGTCAAATACTGTCGCGCCACCGCCGCCCGCAGCTCTGCCATCTCGTTCCGCATCGAGACCATCTCTCGCGTCACGGACGCGCGCCACAGCTCGAGGTCGAGCACCTGCTCACGCATCGCGCGTGCCTCCGCCAAGCCGGACTCCATCCGCGCCATCCAATCAGACAGCCCGCCGAGCGGGCCGGCGAGCGGCGGCTCGGGCGCCAGCGCGCAGAACGCCATGGCGGGGCTAGCGCCCGCGGATGGAATGGCCGAACGTCCACCGAGGACCGGACAAAAGTTAGAATCTTACAACAAAACTCCCTCGCACGACACTGGGCACGGGACTGGCGCGCACTGGCACGAACACAGGTACACCACGGGAGCCAAGTTAGAATATAAACAAAAGAACTCTCTCTCACAGCACACAGGCTCGACACAGGTGCGAACTGGCGCGTGCTAGTACTATCACCGGCACACCAAACAAAGTTAGAATCTCCTCCCGCCAAGTGATCTGTGATCTGTGAGGGTCCGCCCGCAGGCGCATTTTGTATACCGAGGCGGTGCCCGGTGCCGAACCTGTCGGACCTTGAGACAGCGTTGTAGATCCCTGGGCGAGGGTGATGGAGGGGGCGGTCCGGCGGCGGAGCACCCACCTCCTCCCGGCGCGCCGGTAGGCAGGCAGGATGCCCTATTGAGCACTTGAGCACTGGATGGGGTCGGTTCCGCATGGTACGGGACCCCTCGATCGTCTCGCCCTCCCTCACTGGTGTGTTCATCGGGGGGGGTCATAACAAACACGGTACAGGATCGAGGTGCACGCTGCCAAAGCAGTGTCGTCCCCCCTCTCCCCGACGGCGATGGCGGTGTGACCGATCGAGCTACAAGAGGAGCTTGTTCAGCAGGATCCAGGATAGTCTGACGCACTACCTCACTGGGTCTGAGATCATCGAGACGCTTCCCATCACCGTCTCGGATTTGTGTGGGATCGAACCACTCCGGGATGGGCAAGCCCACCGTTCTGAGATTTGTGCCTCTCTGTCACCTGCGAGGGACAGCGGAGATTGCGTGCGCCGCAGCAGTAGCTGGGATGGGCGGGCGCGCTATTGCAATACAGTTGTAGCACCCGCGGAAGACTGTGAGGTGAGCTGTGAGCTGTGAGGGTCGGCCCGCAGGCGGATTTTGTATACTGAGGCGGTGCCCGGTGCCGAGTGCAGGCGGTGCCCCAGACTGTGAGGTCGTTTATTAAGGCCTGGAGCGGTTGAGCATCCGCCATCCCTCCGGGGGGGCCTCTACGCCGGGGATCTGGAGGCGTTTTTTAATTCGGTGACAGTGTGGGCGGGGCATCTGCGCTCTGATCGTCTGACGTCTGATGTGCGCTCCGGCATCGACCCGAATTTTGCGAGGGCGTGTTGCTGGGTAGCACGCAACACTGGAGCCGCTCGGGCAGCCGGCTCCGCCGCGCACCCGCGCAGCTGCGGCGCGCGAGGCCGCGAGCGGGCTCTCGAAAGCCGGAGGCGGGAAGGCGGGGTTTGCCGAAGTTGACGGTTACTCTGATAAGTGGCGCGCGCATTCGTAAAATCTTTACGAACGCGGACTTTCAAGGCGGATGCGATGCGATGAAGTCCACACACAATCAATTCAGAGATCGCATGTTGTGCTCTCGCCTCGCTCTCGCTCTCGCCGTATCCTTACCATCAACCGCCCGGGTTCGCCGCGCCGGCGCTGAACGGGCGCCGCAGCAGCAACCTCCCCCTCCTCGGCTGCAGCGGCCGCCTCCCCCTCCTCCGCCTCCTGCTGTAGCCTCGCCAGCCGCTCCGCCTCTTGCCGATGCAGCGTCTCGCCCAGCCTCTCCCACAGCCCATCGATGCCGGAGTAAAAGTGCGACGAGAGCATCAGTAGCGGCACGGCCGGCGCGGCGTCCGCGCGGCTCGGCGCGGCGCCGTTGCGGAGCGCCTCGTCCACTTGCGCCGAGACGATGGCGTGAGAGCGCGCCAGCTCGGCGGGCGGCAACAGGTCGCACTTTGTGAGCACGGCGAACGTCGGCACGCGCCGCTTACGCAGCAGCCGCAGCACGCGCCCGTCGGCGGCGCAGAGCCCTCGCGAGCCTGCGGGCGGCGGGGCGGGAGGGGCGGGCCGTCGGGAGGGTGGGGCGGGAGGGAGGGCGCCGGGCGGGCGTGGAGCGCGGGGCGGGCAGAGGCGCGCGAGGCGGAGAGGGAGGGCGAAGCTGAGGGCGGAGGGCGGCGGAGCGGAGGGACTCGGGGGCGTCTAGGAGGTGCGTAGGACGTGCCGAGGAGGGATCTAGGAGGTGTCTTGGAGGTGTCTTGGAGGTGTCTTGGAGGTGTCTTGGAGGTGTCTAGGAGGTGTCTAGGAGGTGTCTAGGAGGTGGCGCACAATCGACAAGCAGCAGCGCGAGGCGGAGGGAGGGCGAGCTGCTCACGTAAGCCTCGATGAGGTCGCGCCAGTGACGGAGCTCCTTCGCGCCGGCGACCGCGTGCCCGTACCCGGGCGTGTCGACCAGCACCAACCCCTGCTGCGAACCTGCGTGCGCCTCGTCGAGAAGCCCGCGAGGCCGCGCCTGACACGAGGGCTCCGAGAAAACTCAGGGAAGGGCGTGTCGTCGCCGACTGGCCCGCGAGGCCCGTGCCCAGTAAAAGTGCAGCCGCATCGTCCACCCGGCGCGCGAGTCGACCTCCGCGGGCCCGCGGCGCGCCTTTGCGCCGATGAGCGCGTTGAGTAGCGCCGACTTGCCTACCGGACCACAGGTACGGGACGCGTCATCGTGGATGAGTCGTGGGCATGGCTGTGTTGGGGAGGGCGGACGCGCCGCAGTTGGAGTGGCCGAGCAGCGCCACCTCGGGCCGACCGTTCCGGTTGCCCTTGTCCAGGTCCTCAAGCGCCAGCCCGCCCGTCTTTCCGACCTCCTGCGCCTCAAAGGCGTGCCGGCGGGCGACGCGCGCCTTGAGCTGCGAGGCGCGCTTCTGATCGTGCCAGTGCTTGCGCCGGCCCAGCTTGAGCGTCTCGATCTCGCGCAGCACCGCCGGGTCAGGGCCCTCGCAGTTTGCAATCCGCAGCGCGTGCATCACACGCTCCTCGCGCATCTGCTCGCTAAGAGAGTCCGCGCGCTCGCTCCGCCGCTTGGCGCGCCGCTTGAGCTCCTCCAGCTCCGTCACCAGCGCCTCTGCATGCGAGCCCCTCAAGCGTCGCGGCAGCTGCGGCCGCAGAGCGAGAGCCGTGCGCAGCATTTTTTTCTGGACCTTGTTGTAAAAAAGCGTCATAACGTCTACCTTCGTCATAGTGCCACGACTCCTGTGTGGTGGCGGCGTGCCGTTCTCCCATCCCTCCCTTGGGTTGTGTGTTTTCTTTCTTTTTTTAGTGCCACGACGTGCGGCCTAGAATTAGCACACGCGCCTCAGCTCGCAAACACTCACCCATTTGATTGTCACTGTCCGTGAGTGCGAGATTAGGGCTAGCCGCAGGCAGCTAGCCCACGAGGAGGGCGTCCATAGACACCTCACTAGACCCCACATACGGTCTCGTCCGTGCCTCGCCGGCCGGAGAGATTGCTAGAGGTGGAGCATGCTGCTCTAGCCTCACATGTCACTTCCTGTCGTCTGTTGTTTGTTGTGCCCTTGTTTGTTTCTCTTGGCACCTTGGAGTGCTGGGGGGGGCGACAGGGAGGATGTGGCCTTGAGTTATGTGTACGCCAACTCAGGGTGTGTGGCAGCCAGCTGGCTGTGTGTCTTGTGAGCTTGTTTGTGTCTGTGTGTCGCTCGTGCGTGTCGTCATCATCTGTCCAGCGTCCACCCATACCGCGTTGGTGTCCAGTCCGAGCCTGGCTGTTCTTCACCTTTCTACCTACCTACCTACGTCATCACCAGCCCAAGTGGCGCAGAGCGAGGCGGCGAGAACCGAGCGAGCACGTGAGCCCCGTGGCTCCAACCAGGCCCTTCCTTTTTTGAGCAGGTGTGACGCCGCGCGAGCGACGCTCCGTCCTCCGAGATCGCCCGAGATAGCGCGGCGCGGCCCCGAGATCGCCCGAGATAGCGCGAGATCGCCCGAGATTGCGCGGCGCGGCCCGAGGCGAGGTGGATGGGTTGGGAGCGAGGGGGCGGAAGTGATCAGTGCGGTAGATCGGTCAGTCGGGGCGCAAGAGGTGGCCTGTGAGCCATCCGGCTTACATTTACCCTGCGTTCTTGCACATGGAGTGCAAGATACTCGTTCTGTTGCCGTCCCAAACTGTCACTCCCCTTTCTCCCGGCCGGGGTGGGCGCGCGCGGGGGGCGGCGGGTGTGCGGGATGTCTGTGGGCCCGAGAGCGATATGCCATGTCCGCCTTGCGTTTGTTTCATAACATCGAAGGCTAAGCTCAAAAAAAGTCGGCCTAGAGGGCGAGGAACGCGCCGCGCGGGGTGCCGCCTCACCGGCCTTCGCCAACGCCTCAAAAGTGGCGCAGAGTGAGGCGACGCCCTGAGCGAGTGCGTGAGCCCCGTGGCTCCAACCGGGCCCTTCCTTTTTTGAGCAGGTGTGCCGCCGCGCGAGCGACGCTCCGAGATCGCCCGAGATAGCGCGGCGCGGCCCCGAGATCGCCCGAGATAGCGCGAGATCGCCCGAGATCGCGCGGCGCGGCCCGAGGCGAGGTGCATGGGTTGGGAGCGAGGGGGCGGAGGTGTTCAGTGCGGTAGATGGTAAGCTCGGGGCGCAAGAGGTGGCCTGTGAGCCGTCCGGCTTACATTTACCCTGCGTTCTCGCACATGGAGTGCGAGATACTCGGCTGTCCTTCCCAAACTGTCACTCCCCTTTCTCCCGGCCGGGGTGGGGCGCGCGCGGGGGCGGCGGGTGTGCGGCGGGTGTGCGGGATGTCTGTGGGCCCGAGAGCGATATGCCATGTCCGCCTTGCGTTTGTTTCATAACATCGAAGGCTAAGCTCAAAAAAAAGTGAATGCGGCCTGAGGGAGGCGAGGTCTTGCTTGGCACTTGGGATGGTGGCGCGTGGTCAACTTTCGTGGTCCATTGGTTCTCTGACCTTGGGTGGCACGATCAGTTCACAGCCTTGTTATTGACAAGAAAATACTTCCTATGGCGCTGTGCGCTGGTCTGTGAGAGGTTGAGGTGCGAGCCCTGGAGGCCCTGGGGATGGGGTGAGACTACCCGCGGGCCTAGAAGGCCCGCGCGCAGGGGGGTGGGACATTGAGACCGGTCATGAATGAGTGCGCGACACGCATGTTGCGAGCAGCGTTGTTGATGTTTTGCGCGTCGCCACAGACGGCGGCGCGCGAGAGCTGTTGCGAGTGGTGCTGGGCGAAGCCCCGGGCGCTGCCGGAGGCTGTGCCGTAGTCGGTGCGGTCGACGGCGCTCGGGCTGCCGACCTCTTTGGCGAAGTTGAAGATGATTCTCTTGGTCGGCGGCGCAATGCCGCCCTGGATTCGACGAGACAAATTTTGACGATTCCGTTCTTGACATGGAGCGCGTCGTAGTACTGTCCCTTGTGCTCTTTGACCCAGCCTTTGCCGGTCGCATGGACGAGCGGGCCCTGTGACTTGTGGCCGCGCTCTTTGCACCCAAGAACCTTGAGCAAGGTTTGGTCGAGGGTGCCGCCGAAACCAAATTTGTGGCCCAGTGACGCACAGCATCCGCCGTGTGCCGCCGAGCCCTGCCCAGCCTGCCTCGTCTTGACCAAGGGAGACGTCGGTAACGCCTACATCAAGGCGAAGCGCCAGGGCCCCGTCGGCTACATGAGCCTCCCGTCCACGCTGCCCATGACCGACGAGGACGGCACACAGCTCTGCATCGAGCTCTCGACGCCGCTCTGGGGTGAGGAAAGCGCCGGCTACGAGTGGGAATGCACCTTCAACGAGACCATCAAGAGCCTCGGTTGGATGCCGTGTCCGGGCGTCCCCGCCATGTTCTCCTACCACGGTGAGCACGGCGAGGCTCGCATGATCACCATCGTTGACGACTTCATGATCTCCGAGGTCAACGGCACCGCCGCCACCGACGCCACCATCGCCGCGCTCAAGGCCGCGTTCGACGGCGAGGTCAAGGTCGATTACAGCCCCACCTCCTTTGCCGGTCTCAAGCTCGAGCGTGACCGCGAGCGGCGCACTCTCACGCTGTCCATGCCGCAGAAGATCATCGAGGCCGCTCGCGAGCACATGCCCGAGCTCCTCCGTGGCGAGCGCCCGACTCTCCTCAGCGGCAGGCGCCTCGCCGTCGCCGCCGACTCGCTCAAGCTCGCCGATCGCGACGGCAAGCTGACGCCGCAGCAGGTGCGGACGCAGAGCATCATCGGCCACCTCAAGTTCGTCGAGCGTGTCCAGCCGAAGCTCTGTCTGGTCCTCCACCGCCTCTCGTGCGTGATGTCTGCGCCGCCGCCGGCCGCCTACGACGTCGCGCGCGCCGCCCTCAACATGGCCTACGAGCATAGGGACGACGGGATCACGTACGGCGGGCCTCGCGCTGTCGCCGAGCTTCAGGGGCACATGCAGGCCCACATCGCGGGGCTCGACTCGCACGCGCCTGCCGATCTCGCTGCTGCCGCCGACGCCACGTGGAACGGGGACCTCGACCTCTACGGCATCGTCCTCACGTGCTTTGGCGCCGCCGTCTACCACTGCACGAAGAAGGTTGGCCTGATCGTCGACTCGTCGCACGAGTGCGAGGCTATCGCCACCGCCAAGGCCGGGGAGCACGTCTCTTACGCGCGCGTCGTCCTCCTTGCCCTCGGAGCGCCACCCGCCGGGCCCACGGTCATCCTCTCGGACAACAAGGCCAACGTCCTCGTCGCCAACAATGCCATGTCCGCGTCGCGCTCGCGCCACTTCCTCCGCCGGTACCACACGCTCCAGCGCCGCATGGCCGAGGGCGAGTGCCGCGTCGTCAAGATCGCAGACGACCTCATGCCCGCCGACTTCCTCACCAAGTGGGTCGCGCGCGACAAGCTGAGGCGCAGCGTCGACTTCGCCACCAATGCGCGCGCGCGCAATGGGGGGGATTGACTCCACAATGCCGGCTCTGCGGCGCCCGCCGCCATTGGGGGGGATGCGATCACCCCCCATGGGTGCCCTTTCTAGTCATTCTAGTGAATGAATTGACTCGTCCCAGTGGATGTGTCCGATTTCCGACGTCCCTGTCAAAATGTGCGTGACGTCCGATCCTTTGTAATCGTCTAGAGACGCTGGACACATGAGCACGGAGCAGGCCGCTCCCGGCCCCACGCTGCGCCCACGGCCCGCGCGGCCGGCGCAGCCGCCCGGGAGCTCAGGCGCTACCGCTCCTCTTGCGCAAGCCCCCACAACCCAGTACGAGGACACCCACCTCCCCGTATCGCGTACGTTCAACGTAACGGTTACGTATGTCGACGCCCTGCGTCACCCCACTCTAGCCCCCAAACGCTAGCCTATGAATACAAGTGCCCTCCGACACGCCGCGTGGTACACCGGTAGCGCGCAAGCGTGGGCGCGCAAGCCGCCGCCCCCCGGTCATGGACAAAGTGAACACTGCATGCGCGCTGCCCCAGAGCGGAGCCGCGCACCCCGAGCACACCTCACTTCAGCCTCACTTGTCGAGGGCGTCTTCGGCGGGCGGCTGCCAGGTGAGCTTGGACGGGTCGCAGCGCAAAGAGGTGCCGGGCGGGTGGAGCTTGAGGTGCTCGTCGACAATCTTTGGCGAGACGGAGATGACGTGCTGCCCCTTCCAGTACTTGATCAGGTTGAGCGACTGGAGGGTCGAGATGATGTCGTCCGTGGTGATGGAGGTCATCATCGAGATCTCCTTGACGGAGAGGTTGCCGCGGTGGTCGCTCAGCGTCTGCAGCAGGATCTGCGTCCAGTAGGAGCGGAAGGAGAGCAGCCCGAGGTCCGAGAGCGGCTTCTCGGGCGAGCCGACTTTGGCCTCGCGGATCGAGATCTGGTAGGCGCAGTCGATGAGGAGCTTGGAGTAGCCCTTGCGCTGGTGCTGCGGGAGGACGAGGATGCACGCGATGTTGTTGTGCTCGCTCGACGTCTTCTCCTTGGAGAAGTAGCCCGCGATCCGGTGGCCGCCGTCGGCGCCAACCTCGCAGAGCACGTAAAAGAGGAAGGGGTCCACGTCGTAGTAGAGGGTCTTGTGGTCGAGGAAGAGCTTTGCGAGCAGGCAGAGGCACTGGCAGTACACCTTCGAGTCGGAGCCGTTGATCTCGAAGACGGACAGCTGCTTCGGCTGCTCCATGCCCGCCGCGAGGCACTCGCGCCGCAGCGGCGGCGCGTCGCAGCGGTAAATGAGCTGGCCGGGCGGCTGGCGTGACCGCTCGCGCTCGCAGTGCGCAAGGTAGGTGCTGCGCCGCTTCATGTACTTGAGCGTGAACTCGCAGATGTAGAGCTTGCGCTGCTGCGCGTACTCGTCGGGGAAGGGCGAAAAGTACCACGTGTCCACCTAGGCGAGCGCCGCGGGGCGCGGGTGCGGAGTGAGCAGGCGGAGGCGTGGCGGCGAAGCGGCGGAACGCTTCGGTCGTCTCCTTTGTGTCGGGCGCGGCCGACGCGGGCAAGGCGGAGCGCGGCGGGGCGAGGGCCTAGCGCGGCGGGGCGAGGGCGGGGGCGGCGCCTCGAAGCGGCCGATCTCGACCGTCTGGATGTTCTTGACCTTTGTCGACTCCTACGAGCGGCCGAACCACTCCGCGTCAGCCGAGACTCCGAGTGGCCGCCGCGTCAACGCACGGCGGGCGCGCCTCGTGCTCCTTCTCGAGCGCCTCGTCGTGCGACGCGCCGGCCTGGAGGCGGGCGCTTCGGGTGAGAGCTCGTCGCGTGTGAGGAGACGAGGATCCTGACAGGGCGCGGAGAGGGCGTGCGCTATTGTGCATCAGAGGGCGGCTCCCGCGCGCCTGCAGCGCATTCATGTCGTCGATCCGCCGCTTCATCTTTCGCGTGGCGCGGCGCCCCCCGAGCTCGGCGCCGTCGCGCACGCCCGCGCCGCTGGTGTCGTGGACGATCCGGTCCGCCGCCACCCACTCGTCGAGCCGTCGGTTGAGGCCGACGTAGTGTACATAGTACTCGGCCGCGCTGCCCTCGCCACCCTCGCCCGCACCGGCCGTGGAGCGGCGCTCTATGATGTCGCAGGCGTGCGGCTGGCCCGACCGCAGGCACGCCGCGCGCGCACCTATCTCGAGCATCTCATGCGGCCCGCTGCCCTCCTGCGACACGCGCGTTGGGGTGAGCCGGCGAAGGAGGAAGTGAGAGCGCGCTCGGGCCGCAGGTGCCTCTTTCATGAGCAAATGGTAGTCGAGAGCGGGAGCCACGCCCGCGTACTTGAGACAGCAAATGCGCCCGCGATTCTCGTGACTGGAGAGTCAGAAAAAAGAATTCTTCGAGCGTCGTCTCACACACCCATACCGCGTTGGTGTCCAGTCCGAGCCTGGCTGTTCTTCACCTTTCTACCTACCTACCTCTCACAGCAGACTGGCACGAACTAGCACAGAAAAAAGAACTAAAACAACCTGGTCAGCGCTCCTCTGCGTGGCGGGGGCAGATGCCCTTGGGCTCTGTCTCCGGCCTGTTCCCTGTCTCCTCCTGTGGTTGAGAGCTAGCGGTAGGACCTGGTGCGGAGCGGCAGGAGGGGGAAGCGGGGCCGTCGGCGAATCCGGGCCCTGCCCCCCCCCCTCCTCGAGGGGAGACGAGAACCCCCCCCCCCCGGGGGGGGGGCGGCCCAAGCATGGTGGGGGAAGGTGGCCGGGTGTCAACCGGCACCACATGTACATGTCCCCCCCACACCTGGCTCGGCCCCGTATTGGTGGGCGTATCCACGGAAGCTCCTTGCGACCGCTTGGCTGAAGGAGATAATCGTTTTCGCCGGAAATTCTAACAATAGGAGCCCCGGGTTCTCCTGGGCAAAGCGGATTAGGTCAGCCCTTCGCTCTCCCGTCTGGGACCGGCCGGGCCTGTCCCGGGTCCCGTTAT